GAACTCAATGATTATCCTAATTATATTTTAGATTTTTTATATTTAAAATAAGATGTTTATCTTGTATTTGATTATTTTATCTGCAATTAGTTACACGAATTCAGATATGGAGCTTTAAAATGAGATGTTTATCCTGTATTTGATTGTGTTTAGCTGCAGTTAGTTATACGAATTCAGATATGGGATGAAATCGGATAGAGATGAAATCGTTTAGGGATGAACGGGTTGAAGAGTTTTTAAAAGTTTTTAAGAGTTTTAGTCAAATGCTTTATAAGATAGTATAGATAAGAAAAGAAGTTTTAAGAATTCTTGAAAACACAGTAATTTTCTACATGAGCAAATCAAGTATTGGAAACCCACAAGTTTATCCTACTTTAAAAATAATAATAAAAATATCCTTAATATAATTAATTTTTTTAGATAAAAATAATAATATAAAAAACAAAAATTTGTTCTCTTCAAACTGCATTGCACGGGTACGTTTTACAATTAAAAATGAGTATATACTCACACTAAAATATTTAATTTATTATAAAACATTCACCTCATGTTACTAAAATATCATAAAATTCAAGTTTACGGCTTATTATTTTATATATACAACTTTTAAAACTCCTTTATGGACTCCATGTAAATAACTGATTAATATTTACAAATACAATATAAAGGTTGAGACCTACTAATACACCAAAATACGATGTAATAGAGATAATCAAATCGAAAGCTTTCTCGTTCCCTCAAAACAACACAATACCACAAAATAAAATTGACCCAAACAAAAAACAAATGGACCATGAATTAGAATTAGAATTAGAATTGAGGGTTCGAGTTTTCGCTTAGAATCGAGATGTATCGGGCCGCGTTGTGCAAATATACTTCTAGTATTTTGTAACTAGAAGTGTATTTGCGCTATACAATACGATACATCGATCTTGATTCTGATGTTCAAAGCTCGAACCCTAGATCTAAATTCATGGTTCACTATATTCTCTCTCTCTCTCCCAATATTATTTTATAGTTTTGCATGGTTTTATGAGAACAAGAAAGTCTTCATTTGGTTATACGTTTTATGCAGTATTCTTCAATGTTAGCAAGACACAATATTTATCTTGTATTTGAACGTCTTTGTCGATTAGTTATCAGCTAATTTTTAGATCGAGTTTTCAGATGTAAACTTGAATTTTAAATGGATGAGGTAAATGTTTTATGATATTATATATATATATATATATATATATTAATAGTAAATGTTCCTTATTCACAAAAGGTGGGGTTTTCTATGGGTGCTATGGTTTACACCACACCCATCATTTTTTTTTTTCTATAAAACCTCGTGATTAAAGAAAGTATATATCATTTACTTTTTTTTATTTTCCTAGGTTTTGACTTTGAAGATGGACATATATTTACTTTTTTTATTTTTCTATAAAACTGCAAAAAATATATCTCATTTATTTATTTTTAATTCCCTACAATTTTGACTTTCAATATATTTAATCGGGTGCTATAGTAAATGAAGTGTCTTTTCTCAGAAATCTTGAATTTCTCACTTTCTTTCTTGAATTTTGCTTTAATATTAATATCTTATAACTGGTTTTTTTAATTAATTAATTTAATTGACTATATCTCCAATTCCTTTAAAATGAAACAAAATTTTCAAATCAAAAAAAAAAAAATTACATTTAATACCAACAACTTTTTTATTATGAAGATTTAAAATATTAATTATATTACTAAAATATCCAATTATATATTTCTCTCTCTTCTTTCCATTTATATATTGGTTCGTTAAAGATAAATATTTTGAGAAAATAAACTGGAGTTTTTAGAGAATTATCTAAATTTGAAGAAAAATAATAATGTTTAATTAAAATAAGAATTATTAACTACTATTAAATGTATAAAATATTTAATGGAATAAATCAAGAAAACTACCAAAACTAGTACTCACACACACACATATATATATATATATATATATTTTATATCATATGATAATACATTCTCCAAGTATATATGGTTTGCATCCCACCTACCCTATCATTTATTTATTTTTTAATTTTTCTATAAAATTACCTCGTAATTGTAATAACCATCCTCTTAAAACCTCTCTCAATAACTAATACTAATTAATGAAAGTTAACTCCTAACTAACTCCTAATTAATAAAAATTAACTCCTAACTAACTCCTAATTAATAAAAATTAAATCCTAACTAACTCTTAATTACTAAAAATTACCCTATAAATAACGATGAAGTTTCATTTTATTACTACGTCGTGCAAAAGACTTAAATTTTCAAAGATAACTCATTTTTTTTATTATTGCAGAAAATGTCATTTTTTTACGAAGATAACTCAAATCAAGGTGTTGATGATGTTCACAATTTTTATGAAATGGAAGAAGCTCAATTTTCCACATGGTTATCTTCATTCTATACAGACCAGGTACAATAAATATTAAATTGTCATTAATATTTATCACCTCACCATCAACAAAAATATATATCACCTCACTATCAACAAAAATAAATTTAATTGTAGGTTTTAGACAACTCCAATCTAGGTGTTGATGTTGCTCACTATGGAACGGAAGATGCTCAATTTTCGACATGGACATCACCATTTTATACCGATCAGGTACAATAAATCATAAATAATAAGTATTTATATTATTTTAGTGAAATTAATACTTGTCACCTCAGCATTAACAAAAAATAAATTTAATTGTAGGTTTTTATGTCTCGTGAAGATATGATGAATTGGGTGAAAAATACGGCATACTCTCTTGGTTATGTCATTGTCACAAAAAGATCAAAGTAATGCAAAAATGGTCTCACGAATAAATTGGTTCTTATGTGTGACCGTGGTGGTAAACCTAGCGGATCAGGATCAAATACAAATACTAGTTCCAAAAAGACAAATTGTCCATTTAAGTTGGTAGCAAAATATTCACTGGAACATCATTATTGGACGATAAGAGTGGTATGCGATCAACATAACCATCGCCCTACAGTGAATCTAGARGGTCATSMATACGCAAGAYGGTTATCTGATGATGAATTTCGTTTGGTAGAAGATTTGACGTCGAAGAGTGTGCCACCACGTGAAATTCTATCAACGTTAAAGGATCGAGATGAGACTAACTTGTCAACACTCCCGACGATATATGATGCACAAAAGAAAATTCGCAAGCACGAGAAATGCGGGAAAACACCAATGCAGGTTCTTATGTCACTTTTGGATATTCATCGTTATGTTTATCAGCCTTATACACACCCAGTTACAAACGAGTTGCAAGCTTTATTTTTTGTTTATCCTACATCTTATGAAATATGGCGTGCATTCCCACACGTGTTGATTATTGATGTCATGTACAAGACAAACACATATAATATACCTTTTGTTCAGATCGTTGGTGTAACATCAACCAGCAAAACCTTTTGCATAGCTTTTGTTTTTATAACTGAAGAAAATATGGACAATTATAAATGGGCGTTGGAGCAGCTAAAGGTGACGCTAAATGAGTGCATGCACCCACGTGTTATAGTAACGGATAGAGAATTGGCTCTCATGAAAGTGTGCGAAAAAGTTTTTCCGCACGCCAATCATTTACTTTGTAGATGGCACATCGGTCAAAATATTTTGAAGAATTGCAAACAAACTATTAGGTCGCAACATGATTGGAACCTTTTTCAATCGGCGTGGAAATTACTTATAGATTCTCCAACGTGGATGCCGTACATGAAAAACTATGAGAAACTTCGAACAGTGTTGTCAAAATACCCCCGTAAGTCTTTTACATTATTTATTTTTCTATATAATACTTAATTTTATATCAAGTATTTATATAATACTTAATTTTATATCATTTCAGGTGTTTTAATCTACATACATGATAACTGGTTGGACAAATATAAAAACCATTTTGTCTCTGCTTCGATTGACCAATGTTTGAACTTTGGAAATCGCACTACGAACAGAGTTGAGAGCCAACATGCTAAGTTCAAGAATTACATGTATCATCAAAGTTACACTCTGGATAAATTTGTTGTTTGTATTAATAAGATCGTAGAGTCACAAATCGTGGCAATCAAAGAAAGTTTTGGGAGAAGTGAAATTTCTTGTTATCACAAACACAATATACCATGCTTGAGTTTACTACGGGGTTTCGTCTCAAATGAAGCTCTTGATTTGATGGTGAAAGAGATTAGTCGGTCGAATGGTTTTCAACTAGATTCCTCAACTTGTGGTTGTCAACTACATAGCAGTTGTGGGTTACCGTGTGCTTGCGATCCGATCCCAGATCTAAATGAGGAGCAGGCGAGACATAGTTTGTTTGTGGATTAAAATGAAGAGCCGACTATGGAAGTCCCAAACTTAAACCAAGAACCTGTGACAAACCCTTTACTCGATCATATTCCAAATATTTTTCATCGCTATATCAGACGTTTAAATAATGTCAAAGGTGATGGAAACTGTGGATTTCGGTCAATTGCCGTCGGCCTTGGTCTCGATAAAAATATGTGGCCTGCAATTCGACAAGAGTTGTTACAAGAGTTAACGTATCATGAGCAAGATTACATGGATATATTGACTCCTATAGGCTTTAATTACATTTGGAAGACCGTGGATTTTTCGGGAACTGGTTTTGCCCCAATGGATAAATGGATGTCTATGCCATATACAGGGTTAGTCATCGCCTCATTTTATAGGAGACCGGTTGTATTCATTTCCATGATAGGTAGTTCTACGTGCTTTCCGCTTTGGTCTGGTCCACATGAGTCATAATCAACTGGCCCCATAGTTGTTGCACGTGTGCGGGGGAGTCATTTCATTAATCTATTGCTACAAGAAGGTTATCCAATACCGTCAACTCACCCACAATGGAGGAGGTATAGGATTGATAGGGCATCTGCATGGGAAGACATGTATTCAAGTCGACAAATGTAACATTTTCGTGATTGTAATCTTTACTCTCTATTTACGAAAGTTGTTATTATAGTTGTTATATGTTTTTACTTTTTTGTTTAATTTTAAGTTATCACCAAGAATCCAATGATACATATTAGGTAGCAAAATTGAAGTTTTGAAAGTATTTTATCCAAAATAAAAATCAAATTAAAGTATGTTACTTTTTCATGCAATTTGTCATTTGATTAATTAAGTATGTGAACATACTTTTAATAAATAAATCTTTAAAAATTGGTTATTTACATCGTTTTAACCCAGAGAAGCTTAGATTAAAAAAATAGTTTAAAATAAAAAATTAATGGTTTTATAATTTAAAAAATAATTTATAAGCTAAACCCTACCTAAAGTAAACAACAGTTTAAAAAATTGAAAATAAATAAAGGCTATTAGTGAACAATGATTACAAGTAAATAAATAAAGGCTATTATTGATCAATGATTATAAGTAAAAAAAGAAAAGAAAAAAGAAAGGGGGTATAATAGGGGTAATATGGTGGGGTGTAAATCCTAAATAGGTGGGGTGTAAACCCACCCATCCGTTTTCTATTTGAAATGAGTTGGAAAAAATGAAAACGGAGCAATACATCATTTGACTCTAACACCCACGAAGCATGGGGAAAATCGTACACTTCACCACATGGAACAAAACAAGAGGACAAACACGGCACACCCTATCAAATCAGTCTTCCTCACTGTAATCAGGTGCGTCTCCAACCTGAAATAATCCTACAGATGAAATCTGGAGCCGTTGTTTATGAAAGAGACTAATTTAATGGGTTGTTTCAAATGTTAATTAAGATTATTGTGTTAAGTTTGTTAATCAATTTTGGCCATTAATTTTTATAATAAATGGTTGTGATTAATCATGATAAAAAATTAATTTTTTAAATTTACAATTTCAAAAAACATATGTAAACAAAGGGAAAAAGAGTATTTAAGTAATTTTTTTTATGTAACTCCCATATCATTAATTAGGAGTTGCAAAATTAAAAAATCATATTATTTTTATTAATGTAAGAACCATATGAACACACACATACACACACACACACACAAATATATATATATATATATATATATAAATATATGAACCATTGTGTCAAATACGAAAAAAATTTGACATATATATGAACTTGAACTGCATAACATTTATGAACACAATATAAACATAATAATAACAGATGCTACACGAAATGAAAAATATGAAAAAACAAATATGAACACAATATGAATAGCTTGTGAACAATAGTTCCTTCATTATGAACACATTTAGGAGCAAGCCAATGTTGAGATATGCAGCTACTGTACACATGAACACAATATGAACACTTTTTAAGAATAGTTCCTTCACTATGAACACATTAAGGAGCGAGCCAATGTTGAAATATACAACTAGTGTACACATGAACATAATATGAACAGTTTGTGAATAATAGCTCCTTCATTATGAACACATTCAGGAGCGAGCCGATGTTGAGATATACAACTAGTGTACCTATGAACACAATATGAATACTTGTGAACAATAGTTCATTAATTATGAACAATGGGTTTATCCATAATAACTTGAACGATATCGAAAACTTTACAACCGGGTCTCTTCTACCAATCACAAATTCAAAAACATTATAAATAGAAAAATCAATATTATAAAAAAAACAAGATCAATAATAAATTAACAAAAAATATAAATTATATTAGATGTCTTGATTCATGTCCCTACTAAAACATATATGAACACACTTGAATATATATGAACACTAGTTGCAGTCTATGACAGGTCAAGCATCACAAGCAACTGATGGAGCCGAATGGTTATCAAAATTGGATTGCATAACAAATTAAGTTGACGATGAACTAATTCAATTTAAACATATGAATTGGGCTCGTAGTAATAATAAAAGTAAAAACTATCAACACAATATGAACTATAAAAAACACAAAAAAATGTCACAATCAACATAATTTTGATTAAAAATTCATATGAACACACACAGTTCATTAGATGCCTTAATTCATGTCCCTACTAGAATATATATGAACACTAGTTGCAGTGTATGGCAGGTCAAGTATCACAAGCAGTTGATGGAGCCGAATGGTTATCAGAATTGGATTACATAACAAATTAAGTTGACGATTAACTCATTCCATTTGAACATATGAATTGGGCTCGCAGTAATAATTAAAGAAAAAGCTATCAACACAATATGAACTATAAAAAACACAAAAACGTCATAATCAACATAGTTTCGATTAAAACGAATACAATAACATATTAATCCATTACCAATACAAATGCTTTGATTATTGTCTTCACTTCCGAAACTCAATGTCCGATTGTTATCGTAAACCATTGTAACCTTCCCAATGTTGTCGAGTTGTTTTCCAATGGGTTTATCCATATTAGCTTGAACGATATCGAAAACTTTACTATCGGGTTTCTTATAACAATCACAAATTCAAGAACATTATGGATAGATAAATCAATATTATAGAAAAACAAGATCAATAGTAAATCAACAACAATTATGGGATTTTTTAATTATGTAACTCTCAATTAATGATATGGGAGTTACATACAAACTAAAATTACATATTTACTCTTGTCATTAAATTATGAGATGGATATAAACCTAGATAAAAGATGGATTTTTATTGGTTGAGCTTGGTTAACAAAGTTAACACAATAATCTTGGTTAACAGTTGAACCAAGCTCTCTCTCTCTCTCTCTCTCTCTATATATATATATATATATATATATATATATATACAAATAGAGGGAGAGGGAGGTTCAAGAAAGAAAAATTAACAAATAAGAGAACATGAAAATGGTCAAATCACATGCAAAAATCAAATGTGATTTTACACTAACAGGTAATGCAAGGATGAAGGGCAATGCAAGGGTGTACGGGAGATGTGGCTCACAACCTTAGATCGCGGCCAAAGTGCCGTGAATCACCTACAATTTTACACATGATTTTAATGTAAAATCAAATGTGATTCGAGCGATTTTTTATTCTTCTATTCGGTTATTTTTCTCATATGATCTCTCTCCCCCTCTCTATATATTGTTTTACTCTTGTTTGGTGTGGCATAGAGTGACAAACTATTGTTTTTCAGTTTGTGTGACTTACTAAGTAGGTTGGTTTTCAGTTTCAAATGTTTTAGATATTCCAAGATCATCAATATTTGTGATTGAAGTATTCTTATACTCAAATATGTCAAGAATGTGTTATAATGCCATATAGGTTAGGAAGAGTGTTGAAATTTATTCCCATTGGAACTTATTTGGGTATAATCCATCTCTCCCGATTGTTCCCTCCATAGCATGCTTTCAAATGAATAAACATTAATTACAACATGGTTTGGATTAATGCCAACAAATTCCTCGACTTCAGATTTCACCAAGTAGCACAGATAGTCGTTACAGTTAATTTGCCTTGATATTAATTACATATTTACTCTTGTCATTAAATTTATTAAAACATCCAAAACAAACAAAGATTATGTAAGAGGCAAAAAAGAATCCACACTAAAAAAACAACCCAAACAAAAAGGACACAACAAGAAAATGCAGCGAGTCTAACGAACTAGAGCTCAACTAAGAACAATGTCAAAAGAAACCATCACCAAAAAATAAAAACAAAGCGCTCTAGAACGAAGTCTAGTTAAGACCCGAACAAGAAAGGAGAGCAGGAGTTAACCATCAAAACCTTGGTCCCCGTACCAATCTGACCAAGAGAGTCCAAAATCTTATGCACGCTTGGAAATCCAATTGAACGAGAGAAGTTGTAGTTGAAAAAGTGATTGATTTATAGATTGTCGACCACTTTAAAAGTCCGAGTGTTCCATTGAACCAAAATCGAGTAAAGAGTACACCAAATCACCGCTTGCCAAATATATCTTAATTGGATTTCGAATGATGATAGACTCCATACATGCAATAAGATCATCTAGACAGATAGACGACGAGATGCTCGAACCCCACCATTTGGAGACTTTCTCCCATAACTGAAAGCTCTTTGGACATATGACGAAAAAATGCTCGAGAGATTCTATCTCTTCCTCACAACATGGACAAAGAATGAAATCCGAAATCAATGCCTTTTTCGTGAAGAATCGCTCGGACCATGAGTTGCTCCATTTAAGATGCCAAATGATTATGAATCAAAATTGCACTCTTCGAGATCTGAAAAAAGGATTATGAATTAATTGAGCACCATTGGGTGTAAATTGCACTCTCCGAGATCTGAAAAAATGATTATGAATCAAAATCATCAAGCATTTGACCGAATTGCCACCATCCACACTCAACTACCAAAACTGCTCGTCCTACTCAAGAACCCGCATCGGGGCATTACAAAGCATGGAATTCAACTCTCGCACCTCACCGCCCATCTTCCCTCTTGGTCCTGTGTGGTGGTGGGAAGAAGGAAAGGGTGGAGGTGAAAACTGAGGGTGAGAAGAAAGGCAAAAAATGATATGGTAGGTGTGTACCGGAGCTCTCTCATCGGAGTAGAGCTACGGTGGGGGGCGGGGTTTATCAAAAGAGGTGGCGGTGGAGAAGAAGGTCCCTACGCCTCTAAATACATAAAGTAAATATGTATCCACCACTAAAATGGGGTTTTATGACAGCCAAATCTGTTGGAAAACCAAATATCCGGTGGATTGGCCGACCAGAAAAACCCCCGATCCTAAAAGCAATTTTCGATGGATTT